ACCTTGGGCTAAATGCAAGGCCTGAGTTCCAACGGTAGTTGGCAGTCTTGCAAGTCATCACGGAGTTTAACGCATCGTGACAGTCTCAGGCTCGGATCACACATGCACCAGAGGGGCCACATGCAGAAGGAGCCGGGAAACAATTGCAGCTTTCGAGGAGAGATGTGCCAATCACGTGCCAGCGTGGTGTGGTGTTGAGTGTGGTCATGTTTAGAGTAGATGCTGGTGAAGAGAGATGTGGTAGTATGGTATGGACGGCGGTGCCTTCTGGGTTGGGCGCAAGAAATTTCGTGCGCCTGGCGGGACACAACAGAATAATAATAATAAGTAATAATAATAAGAATAAGTCATAATAATGGCCAGGAGTTGGAGCATGCATTTTGATAGTGGGCATTGTCAGCTAACCGCACAATGGAATGGTTGTACCCAGAGTTACGCACATGGAAATGAAGGAGGTGTTGATTGCTGTGGAAACAGACGATTGAGACACAGCATGTGACGGGGGCTGCAGAAGCTGAATGGAAGGCAGTGGCGAGAATGGTTTCAGCGAGGCGAGGCCCAACCTTTGGATGTGCGCCGAGGTGCGTGCGTGCGTGCGTGCACACATGACCTTTGTCCGCCTACAATCCCGATCAGCAAATGACACAACGCCGATTGGTCTCAAGCTGTCTCCACGACGTGGCCATGTCACGTGTGTAGCAACTGGCAGGAGGTGTTAGTTAAGCTGACAGAAGGCGTCATGAGATAACAACCAGACTGGCGACCAGGAGAACGGAGCCCGGTGGTTAAACTTCCCGGCATGGCTGGCGTAGACGGTCCAGGTCTCCGTTCCGTACTGAAGTGCTGTCAAGACGACCGCTTGTACATCTTGAGTTTGCTGATCATTTGGCGACCGTGGCGATTCCACACGGAAGCTTACAGCCTGGCTTTGGTGGAGGAGGGAATGAGGTGTGTGGATGTGTGATGTGACCGGCGGTTGTCTACCGCAGGTCGCCGTGGATGCGCATGTGGCCGAATAGACCCATGCGATGAGTGAAGGTGCGAGGGCAGTGTGGGCAGTGAAGGCGATTGCGATGGGTGTAGGTTGGTGCTCCAGGCACTGGTTCGCCATTCTCTGTGTGATGGATTCGCAAGTGACCGACCAGGCCGATGCGAGAGGTGAAGGTGCGGTCGCAGTGAAGGCAGGTGTAGTCCTGATCCTCATCAGCAGTATCGGGAGAGGTGGGAGAGGTGGTGTCGGTTGTTGTGTTGGGGTTGGTGATGTGTGAGACGGCAGTCTGAACGGCCGCCGCTGGGGCAGAGGGGGAGGAGGATGGAAGTGGTGGTACAGAAGAGTTAACAGAGTTCGTTGGCGGCAGAGAGGTCGAGGAAGAGGCGGGCGGGGGGGCGATGGCTGGAGCAGTTGGAGAGGTGCAGTTGATCCGCAGATGTTCAACAAGTCCGATTCATGCCCGGAATGTCCGTTGACATCGAGGACACGTAGGGAGAGGTTGTGCGGCGGCGTTGCGTAATGGGCGAAGTTGTGATTTGCGGGCTTCGCGTTTCGCTTTGGCGGCGGCGATTCGGTTGGCTTCAT